TGGGAGATACCAGCTAAGGGCTGGCAAAAAACTTTGGGAATATCATCCTAGAAACACTACATTGCAGAAGAGCACAAAGGGATCAGCTGTACAAGGTCAGATCCTGGTTGCCCCTCTCATGTTGGATTGTACCCCATTTCAACAAAGCTGTTTTGTTGAATCTCACACTGTTCAGATATTCTGTGACCACGGGCCTGGAAGTGCAGGTCACTCAACTCATGGGCAGCAAAGGGTTGCTGAGTTTCTGATATGCTCAAGGGATGTGAAAATTGAATAGAAATCTTGCTGGCTTTGCTATTGCTAAGATTGACTCTGAAATCCTTCAGTGAAGTTGCAGAGGGTAAACTTCACTTAGCTGTTATTGGATTAATGAGTTCATTGATAGCTGGTTGGTAAAAAGCTGGGCATTTCCCAGAGAGGAAAGCCATCAACCACATTTTGTCAGAACAAAGTCCTCTAATGTGCTTTAATAAGAGAGAAGAAAATTCACCTCTCATTCACCTTTTGCTGCAGAATGTAATCTGAATATTAAACCTGCATTTCGTGGTTTTTTGAACCTTGGTTTTCAGGAGGAATAGAGGGGTTTTCTGTGAGGTCCTGCAGTAGCTTGAAGTGTGTTCTGGGGGAGGCTGGCTGCAGGGTGGTGACCTGGAGGACCAGATGAGGTCCACAGGCTCCATTTTCCTGTGCTGATGCATCTTGCTGTGGAAAGTGTGCGTCCTGAAATCTGGAGCACAAGCTTCATTTCAAATAATATTTGTAGCGTGGTGGAAATTGGTCTTTAAAAGCTCCAGGCAAAAATTTCACCTCTTTCTCTTGGCTGCTTGCCACTGTCTGTCTCCTATAGGCTATGGAGATGCTAACTGAATGCAGTGCCCCGCATTCTTGAGGCTTTATTTCCTCAAGCATTTATTTGATAAGAAAGAAGCTGTTCAGGGTTCAGCATCTCCTTTGATCTCTCTGTCATAAGGCCTTCAGGAATGCTCCTGCAGAGCCATGGACTGAAGCTGAAGAAGCACTAAGGGTGGGCTAGGAGCTTGCTTGCTGTGCAGTTTCCAAGTCTTCTGCTCCACTGGAGGCTGTGTCCCTTTTCTGAGGCTGAGCAGAGAGCATTTGTCTTGGACTTTTGTTGAATGCAGGAAATTTGAGTCCTGTACAAAGTTAACTTCCCAGGAGTCCTTAAATACACAAACCAAGCAGTGAAAGGGAATTGTCTTTTATTCATTTAGCATTCTCCCACCCCTCTACCCCCCATGTACATATTAAGTCATGTGTTCAGCTCAGCAGAGCAAACGGTCAGAACACCATCCTGGAACTTTATGTCTTTTGCCCTATCATTGCCCTCCCATAGAGTACTCCAAATATTTGTCCAGTTGGTTCAATTTGCAAAGGGGAGACAAGGACATTTCTCATGTCCCTGGAGATTTCTTATTACTTTTCAGACTGACTAGTTTCTGTAATGAGTTGAAGAGCTCCAAGTGAATGCAACACAGTGGGGTTATCAATGGAAATGTTATAGGGGATAGCAGAGATAGCCTAGATCTAAAGCTCAAACCAAGTGAGGGTAGTGGTGTCTGTTAAGTTCCATTGTCTGTTTTGAAGGTAAAGCAAACCCTACAACTTTGTAGGAGTTTAATTGTTTTAAAGTACACCCTAGCAATGTAAATAGAGTCTAAAAATGCCAATATTATTTTTGTGATTGCATCTACATAGGAAACCACTCTTTGCAAGTAATTAATTAATTCACATTTGTGGTAATCCAGCCCATCACGCTGTGCAGGGAGGGAAAATGCTGTGATTTTGGTAAACTTTCAGTCTTTTCCATGGCCCTACATAGGAATTGATGCAGTGGACTTACTGGCCATGGCTGAGTCTGGCTTTTGAGAGGTGTGGCAGATTCTACATCTTGTGTGCCCTGTACCTCTGCAGCAGGAGGTCTGTGCCTATGCAGGGATTGCAAATATGAGAGAGGATTAAGAACATATTAGAAAGCTGTAGACTGGGGAAATGCACCCACTGTTCCACTTCTAGTGGGAAGCAAACAGTAGCTGTGGCTTGGCAGCTCTCCTGTCCTGGCTGGCCGTGTCTGCCCCTGCTCCCACACTGAGGAGAAGTCTCCTGCATCCTCCTGCAGGCATCTTCTCCCAGCTGTCCTGTAGCACCTCAAGAGTATCAGAAATACTCCTCTAAAGGGCCATTTATTTAACCTGATATTTTTATCACTGAAAATCAATACACAGGCAGTATTTGTTAAAAACTTTGTCTCTAATGGTGTAATGCTCTGGGAGAGCTCACAGGGTGTTAGTACAGCTGATTGAAATGGATGTACATGGTATTGATACATCTGACACTGTGTCTGTCTGCTGTTATTGAGGCCTGGAAGTGGTGGGTGTCTGGAGGTTCGATTAGTTAATGCCTGTGCATCCATGTGTATTTGTATTGATGGGGTTTTGTCCTCTTTTTCTCCATTACACTGACCTCCAGGCTAGGGTTTGTGGCTCGGAATATTTGCTAACAGTTCTCTGTAAAGTACAACTCACTGCCACCAGAATTTGAAGTCTAAATGCCATCTGATTGCTAACTTTGCTCCAGGTATACCATCAGGTTTTTAATGATGGTATCTCCACTTTGCTGGTAAAATATATACATCATATGTTATATGGAGTTTTTTTGTATAATTCAACTACTTCAACTAAATCAAAAATTTGTGATGTTCAGTTCACTGGAAAAAGATGATGAGGTATACAAAGGCACCAAACCATTAGGTCCTAAATGGGGCACCCTTGTAGTTGACACTTGAGCCCCATGTGCCCCAGAGAACTCAACTATAAAATTGAGTTAATGCTGGAGCTGATTTCTCCATGAAGAAAATGCCTTAGAGCTGAACTGCTTTGCAGTTGTAGCTCTACTTGTATAAAAGATACACCAGTTGGAAGTATATGCTTGCAGTTATAATAAACACTGCAGTCAAAACATCTTCAAAGGCTGGAATGATTCTGAGAGAGCAGCTGAGATGATTGAGTGAGTTAAATAAATGTTGAACTAATGCAAACAAAGATGAATCTGAAAGCATCAATTTTCTCTTGCTTTGATTTAATTGAAGGTGGATAAAGCAGAAGTTAGAGGTCTAGATGAGCCATACTCCAGGTCCACTCACATTCTTTGAAAATAAACTCAAGGCTGGGGACTTGTCAGTTTGTCCTTGTAAATTTGTTGAATGCTTTCTCAATGTTTTGTTTAAAATGCATTTCCCTTTACCTCAGAAAAATCTAATACAGTGTGAATGGTGTATAAAGCTGAGAGGAAAAATTGCAACTAAATTTCTTTTTAATATAAAGAAAGTCTACTGATGACTGCTTTAAAGAAAGTATGCAGGAAATGCAAACATTTTCATAGATAATTGATGAGACAAGGGGAAAAAAGGATAAAAGTTGAATGGTTATGATCATACTGAAGGAAACTTAGAAATCTTATATTTTATTGTCAATATTGTCTGACAATTATTTCAAGAACAACCTCAGTGTATCTCAGTTAGGAAAGGTGCAATCAGCCCTGCTTGTTGCAATGACTTTTTCATTGTTTTTTAACAAGCAGAAGTGAGATTATTTGGACCTAGATTGTGTTGATGCTCCCCTGTGCCCAGTGCTCCCAAGGGTTCTGTTTGACTGCACTTTACTTTTCTTTTATACCTCCCCAATTCCTCCCCAGAGTTCAGCAGCTTTACAGTTTCCATGTCTGTGTGGCCAGTGCAGGGAATGTTTCTCTCCATGGCCTCTTTTCTCACAGGAGCCCTGCCTGTTTTACCTCCATGAGCTGCTCCTTTCTTGTCTCTGACAGACACCTCTGCCTCTGAGTTTGTGCACCTTATCTTTTAAGGCTGTCTGAGGATGTGGGCTCATAGAAAGGTCCCAGTGCTTTTGGGCATGACAGATTTTAGAGTACGGGGGTGACCCAGAAGAAATGGAAGAGTTTAGTGATCGACCAAATTACTACAGAACCACATTCTTGTTTGCTGTTGAGATACTTGACTTAGCTGTATTGTTACACCACTGAAATGTGGAAAATTGTTAGATGTGACCTGTGCAGAAAAGAAAGCAGGATTTGGTTGTAAAATTCTTACTCTTTGAATCCTGACAGCATATGGGAACCTCAACTTATATAAAAGTATCACTGAGGTACCCTGAATAACAGAACACAGTATTTATGAGCTGCCCTGCTAAACTCACATTTCCATTGTTGCTTGACATTTGTACTGTAACTCTTGTGGTCTGCTCCTCCATTCCTTTGTCTGGACAGACACCCATTTGGAAAATACAAAGTGGAACCAGTTAACACTGAATGATCTTAAAACTAGGTTGAACTTCTGTTTTCATCGGGGAGGAAGATGATGCCATCAGCTAATTTGGTTGATCAATAGCCCTGCTGGCGATAAGGTTTCAGAGCTTGTGGTTAAAAGCTGATTGCACTGGATCCAAAATAAATTTGATCTATTGGTTTCCACAAATGTAGCATAGCCCGGAATGATGTTTCGGTGCTGATGCTTAACTGGTTTTAATAATGATGACAGACTAGACTGGTGCCTGCTGTGAGGACACTGTAATGCATGAATGCTGAGCACTTATGTTTTTTACAGTAGTGTGGAGCTGTCACTCCCTAGCAAAGGTTCATTATTCCAAGACTGGGAAGCATTACAGTGTTTGCTGAGCAAGTGTAATGACATCTGTCCTGAAAGCAAGCTTTGATTCTGGTCTCCTAGCAAGACAGAGGTACTGGCAATGATTAGACTGGATTGTTAGTTGTGGCTGGAGAAGTAAATTCACTGAAAAATGAAGAGTTCTGTGGCCAAAGTGCACAAAAGTGTGCAAGGCATGTTTCTGATAGCCATTTGGGCATGTAGTTTTAGAAAGGATCCAGCTGTGTTCTTTCTTCATGCTGGGTGGGACCATATTCTGCTAGGGAGATGGACTAAAATTTAACTGATGCTTTCATCTCTGTTTCAGTGACTATATAATGGCCACGAGACCCACAGAGGTCACGCAGTCACCTGAAACTGGAGACACAGTCGAAGAGTCCACAGGTAAGCAGTTGTTATCTCAAGGTACAGCTGATTTGGAAGATTTGTTTTCTTCAATTAGTCAGGTCTGTAGTAACCTGTTTTGCAGTGTTATTTTTTTGGGGCTTCTTTTTTAGTATGAAGAAAATTCTGCGTGTCTTTGTCAGCTGGAAAAGATGATTTAATGTGCAATACTGAAGCAACATATCCTGTTGGAGAATATTCCTTTTGAGTCTGACTTGGGTTTTAAAAGCAGGATTTTAGAGCTTGAAGGGCTGATTGAAATATATCTGGAGAAGTGGCCGGCACACCATTTGGTCTTTCTCTCTTTTCATTGGCTAATATTTTGCAGTCATCTTAGATGTTTGTGTTTTAAAGGTCATCTTGCTTTTTCCTTTAGAAATATATTTGCCACTATCAAAATATTGTTAGAAGAGATAAGCAAATGGCAAAGAGACTGTTAGTTGAACTCCACTTGGCAGATGGACAGAGGTGAAGAAAGTGTATTGAAAGATGCTCAGCACTCTCTGGTTTCTTAGATTTACTAGTTTGTCACTCAGTCTAGTGCTATCCCAGCAATCTGGTAAGCTTGCGTGGTGCCCATGCATGAAAATTTTGTACTCAGGTTCACTAGAAGATTCAGGAAAGAGATCAGATTCTGGCCTGGGTGATAGGAAAAGTAGAATATGGCTCATGATCTGAAGTGTTGGCTCTAAATCCACCAGGAATATTTCTGACCTTAAATGAACAAAATTTTAAATAGTTAAAGGCTGCTGTGCTGTTGCCAAGGAGGTCAGGAGACACTTGGCTGGACCTGGATAAAGCCATTTTAGAATTTTCTGTTTACTTCCAAAGGTAATGAATGCCTCACCTTTCCCTCTTCATAATTAGCTCATGATGTACAGGCTGTAGGAGGCTAAAATCCCACCCTTCAAATCCAGCCAGTTAGACTGATTTATTGAGGTTTGCTTTATTGTCTGTAGTGCAAGGCTTCCAGTGCATGCTGCTCCTCCTTTGTGGCAGGAACCAGGTTGCTGTCCAAAAACTGTCAGCATCCAATTTTGGTGGCACTGAATTCCATTATTTTATTGCCTGTCTGCCAATATCTGGTATTTTTATGAAGCTAAAATCATGACACTTTCTGAGAATCTTGTCTATGGGTTGGGGTTTTTTTTCTAGGTGTTTTTAATGTTGAAACTATTTAGTCCTTGGATTTGAGGGTAAAAAAATATAGAAAATACTTCCTGACTGCACCCTAGGAAGTAAGAGACCATAGAAGATCCCCAGATGAATGGTTTTAATTTGATCATTTGGGATTATCAATTTGGGAGATCATTGACCTCCCAAATCAGGTGTTCCCCATGCTTTTTGCAGTTTCAGTTTTTACACTGGAAGAAGCAACCTTTTCTTTTCTATCTTGTTATAGAGAAGAACTATTCAAAGAGCAGAAAGTTCTGAGTTAATTGTCTCTGTGCACAGCAGACACAATGAAATAGGCACTACACATACCGTAAAAAGTACAGAATTTACAAGCTTTACAGAGAAAGGAAAATGCTTGTTTTCTGTTATAGTTGGCTAAAACATAGCATAAGCAACTAATTTTTGGGAAGAATTTTCATTTTTAGGGCAGTAACCTAGAAATTTAGTATTTTATTTTTAATGCCATAAAACGGAAGATTGGCAACCGTAAAATTTCAAAAATCACCAGTGGACGAAGGGGAAATATGCATAGTTGTTTGAGCTTGGATTTTTGTTATGCAATGATTTTTTTTTTCCATTTTAACTATTAAGGTCCTCTTGTATTTTATTGGTTCAAGTATCAAGTACCAATTGATTGTTATGTTGGGCTGCTTCACAGTGCACTGAGATGTTGGCACCTTTAGCTTAAATGCAAAACCAGAGCACAGCTGTTCCCAGCAGGAAGCAAACAAGAGCATTGTCTTTCTGAACCATGTTTTTTTGCTAAGTGCTCTCTCATAGAACAGTCCCACAGTTTTCATCTGCATCCAGCACTGAGTGCCTAGTAGTGATTTTATCCTTTTTTACATAATAATATGGCAAGAACTCTAGAACTGCAGGGAAACTTACTGTCTTCTCATTCATCTGAGGCAACAGAATGTTTGCAGCTGAGCAAAGCATGGTTGAAGAGGAGTTATTGCTGGAGGGGATGTACCCCACACATCAGTAATAAATTAGAGTCTAAAGGAGGCACTGGAGTGACTGATGTGTCTGCATCAGATACTCTGTGTTGCACAATGGTACAAGTGTTGGCCCATGCCAGCTGGGGATTGCTCATTGGCAGTGTTTGGAAATCCTTTCTGTAGCTCCATTCTAAAGTTAGCCCCACTTCTGATCTAGACAAGTATTTGGAGTAGTACCTTGGCAATGTTTGTTTTTGTGGCAAGACTTAGGTCTGCTTCTCCCAAACATCCTTAGGATCACTTGTTGTGTGGTGGATTTTTTGGTGTGGATTTTTGTCTTGTTTTGGTTTTTTAACACTCTCCTGGTTCTCTGGAAATACCAGCATCTAATTAAGCTCATCAATAATGCCTGCACTAGAATCCAGCTTTCTTTCTCTCTGTGCAACTGACAGTTCACCAGTGTACATGACCAATGTACATGTCCTTGTTTCTCATTTAGATAGCTTTTGAGTTGCAGAGCTCTATGCCTGTCTCAAAGTTTGGCATTTCATTCTTTGAGTCATTGACTGTGTCAGCAGACATTGCAGAATTGATAATTTTGGGGAACTGCTTTCATTAAACTCATTAAACTTTTGTTTTGCCTATCTAAGATAAACCAGATCAGCTTTGACAAATTTCCTGGAAGAATACCACACACATTGTCTAGTTGCTGATAGGAAAGACGGGAATGGTCAGGATGTGTTTCTAAAGGCTCTGAAGAACACATCATGCTTGTTTTATTGAGAGGCTCTGTGCTTGCTGTGTGACCTGTCTTCTCTTGCCAGTTCTTGCTACAGGTGCAGCATGAAGCTCAGTGAGCCCTGTGGGAATATTAACAAATCCCAAACCCTTGGGATTAGCTCTGTTGTGGGGGCCACAGCAATACAAGCTGTGTGTTTCATTCACTCATTGCCTGATAAGCAGCAGTGGAAGATAAAAAGCCTTCCACTGATAAACCCTCCCTAATAACAGCCACGTCCCATTGGTGCTTGTGGGGCTGCAGGGAGAGTTCACTTTCCATGGCTTGAAAGACACTTTGGTCTCAGGAACAGCCCAGGTCACTTGGCCAGCAGCTGCAGGGCTTTGGTGGCTCTGCACAGGGGCAGCCGTGTCACCAGGCCGTGTCACCAGCCCTGGGGACACTGTGGCAGCATCCTTGTGTGTCCTGGCACGTGGTGCTGGCACTGGGCTGAGGAGCAGCGAGGAGACAGGGGAGTAATCTCAGAATCATTGTTTGTTTCTCAAAGTGGCCACTGTCTGATGCAGCTGCGTGGTGGCAGTTCCAGCCCAGATAAGGCCCATTGGCAGAGATCCCTGCACGTACAGGGCACACGTTGAGACAGAGCATCACCAACTCAATCACTGCTGGGAGAGGACAATAATTGTCTGGAAATAATGCCTTGCTTATGAAGGAATCCTCCAGCTGTGGGCATGGGTTATGCCAACTGCTGTAAAGTATTAATTGAACAATGAAGCTGGCTCAGATGTGCAATGATGTTATTGCTCTGAGTATGTATTTAAGTCAATCTCAGGAGTCTTAGTACAATAGTTTGACCCAAACCACTCAAAGTGACCCCTCAGTGTAAGGGTCAGGGACGAAATGCAGGACTTGTGTGCTGAAAGAAATATACATAAGAATGCTGAAGTATCTTAGATCTTATTAAAAATAAAAGATTGGTGATGTTTCTTGGTAAGATTTTTTTTTAGTTCTTTTTGTATTTTCATTTAGACTGTGGAAAATCTGAAACCAAATGAACAGATTTCCAATTGTGTTCTTAGGGCTGCTCTGTTTGGGACTTTTGTGTCCTGAAAGACTGTGTCTTAATTTAAGTTTTCTTCACTGTCCCTGGAGAAGTTGTTCATTTTATTCTGGGACAGTTTTTTAATGTGGAAACATATTTTGTTTTTGGAGTTTATTAATTCTTTTTCCAGTTTCAATCTTTTGCCAATGTTGAATGTCCTTCAGATGTTGTCTCCTTAGAGCACTGAATAAAGAGTAAGCAGAACTAAACCAAACTAAGTAAAGAACCTTAATACCTAAAGACATTGACAGCAAATTTTATTGAAGATACACCAAGCATGATGACTGTTCAGTTGTAGATAGATACATTCTCTATATAAGATTTTTTTTGCATAGACTGGAACCTAGGTAGGCACCACTATTGTCAGCTTAATGCCAGTGCTGCTTTATAGGAACCAAATGTAAGAATCGAAGCTTCACCTTTCACTGGACTCCAGCACTGAATTATTTACAAAGGAGCTGACTGAAACTGAATGGGCTGCTCTAGCTTTGGGGCTTCCTCCAGAATTTAAGAGATAGCATTACCCAAGCTAGGCAATACCACCAACTTTCATAAATTTTCTTTTTTTTTTTTTTCATGTTGCAGGAAAGAAAAAATCCAAATTTCAGACTTTCAAGAACTTCTTTGCCAAGAAGAAAAGGAAAGTACCTCCACCTCCCAGGGGAGAGAGTAATTTAAAACCTTGCCAGTCCAGCAGCGATGTCAGCATTGCTGTGCTCAACACTACTGCACTTCATTCACCGAGGGAGGCTGGGTAAGCTGGCAGGGAAGGAAAATAAATAAAAGTGGACCTCTCACAGCAGCAGGATGAAAGCATGAGTTGGCCCCTCAGGAGCAGCCTCTGTCCAAATTTGTGCAAAACAAGCCCTAATGCTGATGAAGGAATTCCAGGAATTTCCTCTTTGCTGGTGCTTGGAGACTCAGCCTGGAAAGGAGGGGGAGGGCAGCCGGGGCAGGGGTGACCCAACCTCTTAGTCTAAGAGTGCAGATAGCCCAGATTGCTTTGATGGTTTTTAGTGTTTGAAATCTGTCTAGGAGGGTCTGAGCAGCAGCAGCTTTACAAGAAGAGGATGATGACTGAGTGCTGCTAGTACAGAGAAGACGTGTGGAGCTCTGTGGGTGTTTTTCAGCATCAGTGATGCCCTCTGTCACCGCTGCAGTAAAAAGTATTTCTGGTATATTATCAGTGTGTGATTGCTTCTTCAACTTCCATACCTAGCCCTTTGGGCATAGATAACAACTGAAGGGCCCTGGTTTTGTGTCAGCCACCCCTGGAGGGCTGTGCCTGTAAGGGAGGTTTGCAAGCCCATAGGAACATTTCTCAGCTCTGGAATGGTGTCAGTGCAAACCGATGTCCTTTTCTCAGTCAGTGGGATACAAGCTGTCAGCTTGCACTGCAAACACTGCTTCACTGATAATCTTTAGACCATCAAACTACACAACTACTGCCCATAGAGTCCCATCATTTCCTCTGCTTTGGTTCCTTTGGGAAGCTTGAATGTCAATACACATGAATGAATTGAGCATTTGTATAGGGAAATCAGTGTGGACAGGCGATGGCTGAAACATCTGGGCTTTAGTTAGTGCATCTTTAGCTTCGGCAGAAATATACATATGCATATACACATATGCGTATATATGGAATTACATGTGCATATATAAGATTTACAAATACATATATATGGAATATATGCCTGGAATTACAGAGGAATGTAGATTTGCATATAAGAGACTGATCTGTACTAAAGCTGAAGTTAATTCTATATTTAATCCTATGGTTTTTTGATGACTGACAGAAGAAAATACAGTAATTCTCTTGCCAACACATCTGATACATATACAGAGAGAGGAAAAAAAGACAGAGATCTTGTACTGGCAGTCTCAAGGAGACCTCAGCCCTTATGGGTAAAGAATTCCCCAGATGGAAAGGCAAATACATCTTAATGCACATGCATTCTTTGAAATCAATAAAATATGCGTTAATAGTGAACATATATTGCAGTAAATAAAAGCTGCATGACTGTTTTTCTTAATGCAGTAAAATTATGTCTTGCCTATATGGAGTACCTCTCATGCTGAAAAGGACTATAAAATCAAACACAAAAGGACGGGATGTCTTCATTAATGAAGAAATAAGGCAAGTGCCTTGCTTGTGTGTAGAGCTGCTGTCCTGTAGACTAACACAGACATTAACCATGATGTATAATGGGAGGAAGCACAAACTCTGACCTGTGCTGTGAGAGAAACAGCTCTGATTACCTTTGACACAACATAAATTTAGAATAAATTTATTTTGCCCTGCTGTGAGGCTGTGTATAACTGTAGACTGACTGACTACACCTTTGGGGCAGCAGAAGGGTTAGTCCAACAGCTAGAGGAGGTGTCTCTGGAGATGTAAAGAGGGATGCAGGAGGCAAAAGAGTCATTTGTTTGGGGTTTTTTTGCATAGTGTATTTATTTAATGAATGTTCACAGTCTTTCTTGGCTTTCTTCTAAATAAAGAGAGAATCTATGGTTAGGAAAATGGCAGAGACCTCTTCTGTCTGATTTCCTTGCAGTAGAGCTTTGACATACGGAGTTGCTCTTGTCAGAGTTGTGTTCCTAATCATCCCCTGTTCCCCAGAGTCAAACTTTCAGAGGCAAAGCATTGCCTTTGCAGCATCTGAGCCAAGGAATCCTTGTAATTTGCATTTGTTGATAGTCTCATGGCCAACAATGAGAGAATATTCTATGATGCTTTCCAGTTCAAGACTAGGATGAAATCCTGGTAGAGGCTAACCTTGTTGTCTTTTGGACAAAGTAATGTACAAATAATACCTGCCTATGCTGGTGGAACTTGGTTAATAAATTATTTGGGGCCTTCCTGGTTGTGCCACTCAAGTACAAAATTTGCTCTGCATAACTTAATAGCCCAAGCCCAGTCAATCTCAGTTAATTACAACTCAGTTGACAGCTGCTGTGGAAACTCATCATTGCTTCACTGGGCTGAACACCCAATGAGCACAGAAACAGAGAACAGAAAGTCTTACCTGTGTACTTTAACCTGGCCATTGATAGGTCTGTAACTGTAGCCATGGGCACCTGTCCCATCCACATTTTTTAATACACTTGGGATCTGATTATATTTAGGATGTGGGTGAATGCAACTGGTTTTATTGCTGGACATGAGAGGATTTGAGTCAAGTTTGTTAACATATCAAAGTTAAATTTTCTGCCCACATTTACAAGAAGGAAAATAACAATCCACCATCTTTGGCAGGTATGAAGCACACCAGGCTGTAAAAGCTGTATCGTGAATGTCCCATTTTAGGCACTCTGCCACTGAAGGAGGCATTTATCCCTTTCTGCACCTTTCTTAGGGTGGTTTGCATCCACTTAACTCCTAACATGGGACCTAATCATGCTGGACTCCCTCTCTAGTCAGCAAACTGACCTGTGTGTTCAATGCAGATGCTGAGTGCATTGCAAAGGGACGTCTGCCTTTGATCAAATGTGTTTCTCCTCTCTTCTGAGTATAAAGGAAGCAAACAGTGACTGTCTTAAACCTGCACTAATCTGAAGTTAAGCATGGTGCATCCCACTCTGGCCTCTTTATCACCCTTCTGCCCTGGTGCTGTGGGGAATGTACCCAGTGCAGTGACCACTCATCCTTCCTTCCTTTCCAGGCCCAAGGGTAGCATGGGAAGCAAAGCCCTGTCCCATGACAGTGTCTTCATTTTTGAGTCTGCACCAGGAAATGTGACAGGTGACGTCTTGTCTCAGGAAAACATACCTGGAAGAGTGAAAACTCTGCAGGTGAGAACATCATCCCCCTATCAGCAGTGCTGCTTTTTGTCAGCTGTCTCCCAGGAAAGTCTGTTGCTTGATTCCTTTTGCTATGTGCCTTAGGATTTTGCTGACTGAAGTGTCTAAAGCCAAATTTGCTCTTTTTGGATCTATTCTGCCTCTTGGAAGCTGAATTTTTGAGCAGTCCTGGAGCTTTCAGCCTTCCCCAAGTCTCATAGTGAATGATGTGAATCCAGTTTGTGAACTCTTGGAAATTTTCCTTATTAAGTGTGTCCTCTTCCAATGGGATTTATGTTTTTTACTTCATAGCTACTGATTTTGGGTTAAGGCCATTTATTTATACTGTAGTGTGTCCCTTACACTGTTATTCTTGAAATATTATTTGTGTTACTCTTTTTAGTAGTTCTGGCTCAGATGTTTTCATTATACATGGTAGTGCCAGTGGCTGTGTAAGTGTGTGGGATGATGGAAATGTCAGGATGCTCTGACAGCTTTATTTATATAATTATTCTTTTGATTTCTGCTGGGTCATTTCCTTCTTACAAGGCAATACTGAACCCTCCTTGACAGATCCCTTATGAACTGTTGATTATATTAATTGCATTTCACTAACTGACCAGCTTGGAACACTCAGATAAAAGTTTAAGGTTTTTCCAGAGACTGAATACAAATGGCTGATAAAGGAGCCAAAGGTCATTGAAATTCCTCCTCTGCTTAGTGTGAGCTTCATGTTGCAAAAGACAATTGAGTCACATGTTAAGTAATAGAAGATGCACAGAGGGACTTGTTCCCCTCTAAGAGTGCAAAATAGGCAAAGCTATTTTTTTTTTTATAACTAAAGGAGTAGCAGAAGAGAACATGTTTGTGTATTGCAGAACATTGTTGAGGGGAAAAGCTCTTTTCATGCTGTTTGCAGTTCACTGTGCCCTCTCCCCATCCATCATCCTGCACAGTAATGTAATACTGCCAGCACTATTTTTGTAGCTCTGACAGACAGGCTTTTTCTGTGAGCTTGACTCTTGTCAGAATAAAAGCCAAGCAAAAATAAAAGCAGTTACTTTCTTAGCAATGTAAATTAACTTCTACCGGTAGAAGACGGAATGCAAATTCAGTTTCCCCCACACCAGTTTGCTGTCTGCATGTAATAAATTTAATAAATCTAAGACAGGAAGTTGTGAAAAGAGACCAAAGCAAAAATGACTTTCTGTCTTTTCCTTCCCATTAAATGCACACTTATGTTGTATGCCTTGTGTTGCCCATATATCAAAGTATTGCAATATATTGCCCATAAATTGGAAAAGAAAGCTGTTTGAACTGGGGGGGGGGTGTGGTGTTAGACATTGTGCTGCCCTGTGTGGCAGCTAGTTCTATAGGAATTATATTGCAAATGAATCTTACTGAATAAGATTCACTAGCAGCTTTTTGGGTCTATTTTACAGGAGTGTAAATGACTGCACAGATTGCAGGAAAGCACAAAACTAGGCTTAAAATTACCCAATATGGTTTAATAAACAAAGAAACAGAAAAATTAAGTCTGCATGTTTATGTTGGGAATATTCTGTTGAGATGTTTTCAGTTGAAGGACAAAGTTTGTGTTCAGACCTTGTTTCTATTCCAGCTTTGTTACAGCTGACAGACTTAAGCCAAGAATTTTAGTAATGGTGTTTCCTGAGATCTGAACATTTTTATTTTGAGGGAACATCTGGCTGCTTGTGAGTTTGCAGACTTTGTTGTATTTTTCTAGGGTCAGGGCCTGCCAGAACATTCTTTTGTGCAATCCTGGAGAAGAATCCACACACTCTTTTACAAATAAAGTTGTTCCTGGCTGCTGTTACCAGTCTTGCTGTAGACATGACCAGGATGTGATGGTGGGGGAAATTAACAAGCAATTCATTAGGGTGGACCAGAAATGAAATTAATTTGGTATTGTATAAAAATTGTGACTCAGCTACTTGTGTGGGAGAGGGCTGTAACAAGCTCTCAAATTTGGAAGGGCTCTGTGAGGGAAAGGTGACTACATAAATCTGAGGTTGGGAATGCTGACTGGCAATACTTTGTGTGACTAAATACCTAAATTTGTGTGACTAAAGAATTAAATCTAGAATTTTGAAAGTTTTTAATTTAAATTGAGTTAAACTGTAGTAAATTTTCTGGAATGATGAAATTCCTGTCTTCTTTTGTTAAAGTACTGAATAAAACTGATTTTAATTTTATACCAATGCCAGTTTTAATGATGGGTCCTTGATGAATGTAGCTGGATAAAATTTTATTAATGGCTCTTTTCTATGAATGATCTGTTACTTCAAGTTCTTCTGATAACTAAAAGATTGTGCATATCTAAAGAAGCATGTCCAGAACATCATCTTTAAATTGTATCATTGAAAGATTATGTTCTGTATTTCAACCACAGCTTCAGCTGCAGCAGAATGTCAAACTTGGATCACCTCCTCTTGTTATAACTGGGAAAAAACTGGAAGATGCAGGTGCTGTTTCTGAAGATGATGGTTTACCTAGAAGCCCTCCTGAAATTTCAACCCTTCATGAAGTTCTGACAGATTCGCCAAACAAGGTATAATTGTCATCTCACCCTAGTGAGACCATCCAGACAAAATCTGCCTAGAGAAGGGGAAGAGCATTTTGTTTGTACATGACAGTACAGATCAGTTAAAACCAGAATAAATTACCTAGATGGATTGTGGACTTTTCACTCTGAGGTATACCTAGAAATTGACCCTACAAATACCCTTTCTGTGTAGATTTTTCCACGCTTTAATGTAGACCAGGACTCTGACCTCTGTCATTAGCAAATGCACGATTTTAGACTTCAGTGAACTTGTGAAAATTTGTAAATCTTATGATTTTAAAACAATAACTTAAAATAACTTTATAAAATGTACTGCCTCCTGTGGTCAGCCTTCCTGGCATATCTCAGTGCAGGAGAAATCTCCCCTGCTTTATGTTTGATGCCAATGAAGAAATCAAACCCACTGTGACCCAGGCACCCAGTGACCCTTCCTTTATTTTTCCTCTTGTGTTTTCTCATAATTAGCACTGGATATCCAGCTCAAGATAATTCAGTGTGATACTTCCCTTGACTTACCCTCTTCCTCATTTTATCCCACAGTCCTCCAACCCTGTTCAGCGTCATAGCTCTTTGAGTTTAGGCGGGACAGACAGTGAAGATGAACAGGTAAATAGCTCCTTTTCCTGCTAATAAAATCTGGAGTCTGTATGGAGCCAGTGCAGTAATTTTTGTTTTTAAAATTTATTCTGGGTACAGTGTATCCTAGGAAACAATTCTTTAAGAGTCCAGAGTGAGACAAATGATACTTAAAATGTACCTCTCAGGGTTTTCAATAAGAAATAAAGACAGGCAGAAATCTACTGGTAAGTGGGTTGTGTGAACAGCACAGAGGCAGCTCTGTGACACAGTATGAATCTATAAAGTTACACAAAACATTGGACCAGGCAAAGCACTTAAATTCTGCTCCCATATCCCAGGGCCCTCATTCCAAATAATCACACCTTCCCATCAGCATGGATTGTGAGCAATGCCCTATATCTCTCTTATCATGGGAAATGATTGCAGGACCAGCCTTTCCTGATGGCAGGTATTCCATAGGAAAGGGTGTGTTTTAATTTGCAATTTTCTTTGGATGATAAATGACCATGAGAAGCAGCAGGTTCTGCTCTCAGAACGACACAGTCCTTGACCAGATTGGAAAAATTTGCAGAGGTCTTATTTTCTGATGTACCTTGACAGTTTTTGTAGATGAGACATGAAGATGTTTTCATGATATTTAAAACTCCATCAGCATACATGTTTGATATGCTGTGTTATATCCTAAGCTTAAACAAAACTAAACTGCAAATGCCAGTGCAATGGCTATGTGTCACCCAGCTTTATGAATGAAGCTTCTTTGGCAAAATGTCTGTGACATCTTGCAAGTGTTCCAGGAAGTTTAATCTGCATTTCAAAACAGTAGCAAAACCACTCAAACTTCACGTTTAGGGGGCTTTTGTACAAACATTTCTGTAAACCCTTTATTTTGATGGCAAAATCCTAGGTTACTGCTGTTCAGTTCCCCAGAGCAGCATTTCTGTGAGGATGAGCTCCACATCACTGTCTGGAAGATGCTTCTGATCCACTGAGAAGCATTTGATTTTCCTGAAAGTTGATCTTGAAAGAGAAAAGTGGCTATGGCAGCTTTCTCAGAGATAATGAGGAGCTACTTCTGTGGCTTTTCAATAATGTATTTCTGCAGCGGGTCACGTTACTGGGATGAAAAGGCAGCTGTACAAACGGCAGGAGTGTCTCCTGCTGGTGTGTGCATAAACTGCAAAGGGCTTTGCAGGTAAGAGCTGGGTGGGGACAAGCTGAGAGGTATTCCTCTTTCTGTGTTAAATACCCCTGAACACACAGAATCGAGTCATCTCCCTGCAGAAGTGACTTTAGACACGCATTTTAAAATGAGGATTTATGTCCAAAACTACAGCCATTTCAAGCTTCTGAAATGGAACGAGCTAGCAAAGGAAATGTTCCAGAGACGCGGGGGAGTAAAGCAAAAGATATACAGCATTGTATTTCTGTTTTACAGATACCTTCTGGAGCTTCCTCCAGGCCCATCAGTCCTTTATCCTCTGCCACTCAGGGGACCCCCATCTCACGGGGCAGCAGCTTCCTTCCTGTTGATTTTACCATCCCTGCCAGTCCCCTTGGCTGCCTGGACACCTCCGCAGCCAGGCACAGGATTGCCATCAACCCTCGGAAACAGAAAGGCTTTGCCAGCAAGCATCAGCTACCCCTCCAGGTGGGTGTTTTCTGGGAAAGAATCACTGGGCAGAAGGAAATGACTGTCAGTTTTAAATTATTATTTGAAATATTTAACTTTCTTTTTTGTTTCCTAGCCGTGTTCCTTTATTTCTTCCACTGGAAGAAGGGAAAACACCTCTTTTGCACCAACCAATCAACCAACCAACTAAAAAAGACTCTGAAAATTTCAATATCATGGAAACTGAAAAAAAAAGAGCAATTTTTGGTTTTCACGATTTAGCCAAAAATTGTGGGTTATGGTTCATTTGTAAAAACACTTCTGGTGTTTGAAAACCTAAATGTCAGTTTTAAGGAGGCCTAAGTCTATTTTTACAAATCTAGTTCTTAATTGGAATAGTACATTACCCACAGTGTTGGTAAATTACAGGATGGAGGTTTTGTTTCTATGATTTGAGTATTCATAGAAATGCATATGTATAAACTACAATTTTTGTGCATGATTCTTTAATTAAGGCATCTTCACTTCTTTAGGTGCAGCAGCTGGAAAATGAAACATGTCTTCCTGCAACTCCAGAAAGGAAGGGAAATTCAACAGAATTACTTGAGAGTGACAAACATAAAAGTGATTGGGAAGGTAATGAAGGCATAGATATTGCTACTTTGGGTGCTTGAACTCTTCTGCATAACACGGTCAGGACCTGTTTGAATTGTTAGTCCTTCCAAACTAGGCATTTTTTGGTTCTATAACATAAAACCAATCCTGGCTGCTAAATTGTTGTGATGGAAAAAATCAAGTACACTCATCAAACTGATGCTGAAGTGGTGAGCTTTGAGGGCAGCACTCAAAAACACATGAGCTGAAAGCACCATGGTCAGAAACACCTGCCCTACACAGCTGGCTGGACCTGAGTGTGTGAAACGGAGTTCCTTGGCACTCAGAAAAACCTTAACCTCAGCATTATATGTTGTGTGTGTCAGGTGACTTTGATTGGCTTCTATTTACTGGATCTTCCTTTGCCACTCACCCAGAAAGAATTTTCCCAGTCATTGTGGATGGCTTTTCTAAGCACACACATGCAGAAATGTCTAGAGAAATCTGACTGGTAGTCTTACAGCTAAGGGTATGCACAGGAAACAACTAAACAGCAACTAATGTGTACACCTGAGACAGACAGCAACTTTCACTCCCTGGATTAGGTATGTTCAAACTAAAATTTTATTAGTCCCTCACTTGGACAGCCCATTTCTAAATAGGCTCTGAACAAGCTTATTTATCAGTCAGCAGTGCCCAGACATGGGGCATTCCTGTTAAAGGACTGCACTATCCGGAGTGCATACAGATGGTGTCTGAATTGCAACCTTTAAGTGCACACTATTTTCCTCTGTTTAATATAGGACTACCAGCCCAGGTGGGACACTGTGCAAAGGGAAGTGCTTTTAAGGAGACACCAGGTGTAAAAACTCCCACTGATGCTGCCTCTGACTCGTGTGATTCCACGCGTGTGGTAGAAGACCCCTGTGCTTGGCTGCAAGAGGATGGGTGCCCTCCTGGTGGGGGCCATCACTACAAAGGAGCCACACTTCTCCTGAGGCCTGAGCCTCCTCCAGGGGACCTGCAAGAACAGCACAGTGCAGGAGAGTTGTACTCTGCAGATGGGCCTGCTAAAGAATCAAAAGTGCATCCTCAAAGTACCAGTGCTGAAGTACCTGAGCTTCCAGAATTGCAGCCACTTGAAGGAGAAGCTGCTGTGTCTCCAGTCACACCAGCAGCTGACTTGTTTAGCAGTGGTGTGGAAACAGTGGGCATGGATGTATTGGCAGATGGTGCACAAAGCTCCTCAGTAAATTCTGTGGATCCAAGCATTAAAGCCCAGGAAAAGGGGGATCTACTGTTTATTGGCAAAGAAGAGATTTGCTTTGGTACTACTGGGAATCCTTCCAACCTTGCTGTCTCAGATACTGCACTGAGTACTCCACAAGCTGCAGTAGCTGACTCAGAGTCTTGTTCTGACATCAAGACAGTGGCTGATTTGAGGTCTGAAAAGAGTTCAGTAGCAAAAAATGACAAGGAAACTCCTGAAGTTATGGAATTTCAGTTATCCAAGAACAGTGTAGGAAAAAAGACAGACTCTGCTGCATCTGTGTCAGAAGCAGTTAGTGTGGTACCTTGCAGTAAATTGGAAGTATGTTTTAAAGCAGAAATTATTCCTGTTTCAAAGGGTAACCAAAGCAGTCAACAGGCCAACACATCATGCATTTCTGAAAAACTTTCCATTGGGTGTCTTACCTCTTCAAGTTTGGCTGGCTTGAAGAGTAATTTATCTTCTGATGCTGGCAGTAAGGAGTACCAGGTAAGCACTACAGCTTCTCACAGTAAAACAGCAGAAGGCAGTCAGTCATCAGATGAAAGTGTAAAAAGTCCACTGAAGACTGCTTCTGCTAAACCAGTCAGATTTACCATTGCACCAGCGTGGCAAAGGTCTCTCTCAGGGGGTTCAAATTCAAAGGAAGATTCCTATTCCAGAAGTTCTCCAACATCCCCTATAAGACCAGAGTTCTTTGAAGGAATGACAAAAGAACACACACGTTTTGATGCAGTTATGCAGGAATCAGCAAAAGCCAACTCAGATAGATTTGATCGAGATTGTAAGGACAGAGATCTGCATTTGAATTATTTTATGGGGTGGGCTGACCATGAAACACCCAACTTCGAGAGCCCATTTGGAGTCAGACTAAGAAGAACATCATCTTTACTAAAATACCAGAATGAAAGCCGTGTAGAGCCTCCAAAGCTGATCCCTCCAGCTGCTCCAGCTGCTTCTTTTGCTTCAGTGAAGGAGGATCAGAAATTGATGGGCATTGGGAAGTCACCTCTAAGCCTTCCTGTCAACACAAAATCAGTTGTTAAAAAAACAGATCTCCTAGAAGACAAAAATACTGCCAAGACAAGATCAGAAGAAGTGGCAAAGAAGCAAAATGGTTATAAACCTTCAGGTATTTACACTGTATTTGTACCCAAACATTAGAGAAAACAGTGGTCATGTAAAGAGCCTAGGCAGAGCAGCACGAAAAAGAAAATTAAAAATCCTCTTGGCTAAGCACCAAATTCAGTCTTGAGTTCATCACCACTATAATTTAATTGGCTTGATGATTTGGCCAGTCAAGAGAATTCTTGGCTTATCTTAATGAAGGGTGTGTTCCAGCAAGAAGAACAACAGAATAACTGCTTAATGCCTCTGAAACGTTTCTGGTATTTGTGCATATAGTTGGAGTTTTAACACAGATTTTTAAAACTTGCTGCAGTTTTAGTTAAAAATTCAGACTGCAGCTGCTCAAACCATAACTAGGAGTTGCATTAAGTGAGATTATTTTTTAAAAAATTACTTAATTTAAAATATTTTAAAAGTGACAAGGAAGCCTGTATTCTACTGCCTACATGAAAAAATCATTACTGTAGTACTCATTTAATCTACAATGGAAGGATGTTGTTTCAAAGGCAAAATCCATTTCACAGTGATCTCAGTGGGACATCTGCCATTGAGTTAGACAGAAGCACAGTTGAGTCAAATAAAGGAGAATAAACAGAAAAACCAGTTATTGCCAAGGACAAAATCATCAGGGAAGGTAATTTTATCTCCACCATGTTCAAAGACTATTACAGATGCTGAAAGATTTAAAATGTGAAGCACTAGCTTTAGGCTGACTTGACCTAAATACCTTCTTTACTTCAAAAATACTTCTTTTGTAGAAAAAGTCTCTCCATATTTGGAAACTGCTTCCCCTGAACCAGCTTGGGTCTCTGTGGCAAAGCTGAAACAAAAGGGTTTCCAGGACCACCCTCTTGCCAAAGAACACAAAGATGAACACAAAGTGGATCAAGGGGAGGTAGAGTACCAAGTAATGTTCATGGGTGTGAATCCTGCCCCAGGTCACCTGGGTGCTTCTGCAGACTGTTCAATATTGTCTTCATGGGAGGTGTGTTGTGAGCACTTTTCAAAGAGAGCTTTACAGGCCTGGCCTCTAAAACACTGAGACAGACAAGTGATGCAAGGGAGCAAATGCCTGTGACTGCACTGTCACCAATCCATTTCACAGCTGGATTTTCCTGTATGCTCCTTTGCACTGCTCAAACCTGAACCTTTTCAGAGCTTTCTTATTGCCCAGAACTTATTTATGTAGCTGCTTTGAGCTGCATTGGCTTCCTCACTGCTTTTTACCTCCCTCCAACAGGCTGTTCCCAAACATCCTTGCCTGGCTTTTGCTGCATTTCCAGAGGCAAGCGTGAGAGGTGCAGGGTGAGCTTTATCAGTGCCCATGTGTGGCAAGCACATTTCTCTCCCTCTCAGGATTTTTCATAGAGGTGCACAGAGAGAAATGAAAGAGAAAACAATTTCTATTGCTGCTCCTTGTTTTTCCTATGTGGAATGTGTTTGGAGAATTGTTTACCTGGAGTGAGTGCTTGACTGGATTCTGGTGAGGATTGTTTGAGCCTCATGGCCAATCCAACCCAGCTATGGCTGGACTTGAGAGAGGGTCATGAGTTGTGGGAGAGTTAGAGTCAGAAAAAGTAGTATGTAGTTTTAGTATCCTCCTTTTATATAGTATATTAATGTATTTTAGCTATAGTTATAAGAAAGAAATCATTCAGCCTTCCGAATTGAGTCAGACATCATAATTTCTTCCCACTGGGATCACCTGCATTTACAATACCCATGGCTGGCAGTCAGTTGCATTCTTTTCTTCTCTCCTCATGCTGCAGCCAGAGGTGTGTGCTAGTGAGGGCCCTCTGAAGAAGAACATGCCTTCCATCTCTCAGGACAAGAAAACACAAACCAAGGCCAGTGTGTCTGCAGCAGCAGGTATTCTTTTTCTTTATATAGAGGCTACAATTTGCACCAGTGAGTGGTGTGGGTGGCAGGGGATGGGGGAAGAGAGACATGATTTTTGTAATCACACATTTTTGTAAAGCACACTTTATATAAGGCCTATTCAGACCATGTTTTTTGTATAAGTCAACATAATGGCTTGTTTGCTCAGCAGAGAAAACAAGTGAGGAACTCTTATCTCCACTGCCAGTTCATGAAATGGCATATAAACAGTCTGGTGATTTATTACTGGTCAAGATGAGTACTAAAGAATAGAAGTTGAAGTTGGAGAGTGTCCAGAAGAGAGCAGCAAAAAAGGTCAGGTCTTCTAGATCTCCAGTCAGTCAGGAAATGCTGATAGGAGTGGAGTTGTTTAGTCTAGAAAAGACAACTAAACGTTCTGCCATAAAGACTACTCTTTATGGCCAGCATGAACTTAAAATGCACCAGGGGATGTCTAGCTTAGATGTTAGGAAATACTTTCTAACAATAGGAGCAGTGAGGTGCAGAAGAGCGTGGCTTGCATATGGAGAGTGTGCAGTTTCCATGGCTGGAGTGTTGGATAGATAAAAATGTATCAGGAATAATTTATGTAGAGTCAGGTTCACCCTCAGGTGAACACAGAGGCTGGATGGCCCCTCTCCTGAGCACTTGGCTCTGTTTCTTTATATTAAAGATGCAGGGGAAGAGTGTGACTCACTTGGTGACTCACATTAGCTCTTCCAAGGCTTCTGCTGGGCTGCAGCTTCTCCCTCCCTGCGTGCTCAGAGAGGTGCCAAACCTCAGCCACACGCTGCAGCTGGGTACAGTCCTTCAGCTGTAAAAGCACACTGGGAGCCATGGATTGCAAATCCTGCCTAAGTAGGTAAGAGATGCAGCACTGTGCCACACCTGTGGCTTTTCCATTGCAGACTCCTGTGGCTGGCAGAGTAAGAGATGCTGTCTGGAAAGAGCCCATGCCCCTGGCCCCTTTCTTTCCCTGTGTAATCCAGCAGCACCCAGAGCTGTTGTACTGGAGATATTTGGCAGTACCTCCGTGCTGCTCCCTGTAGTAGTTCTTGCTAGAGCTGTTAACCATTGCTGAATCTACAGGTCCTACAAAATTAGCTTTCTCCCTTGCCACAGCAGGTGACTGGCTCAGCGTGTTTGCACCAACACAGAAGCTCTGATGTTGGTTGCAGCTAATTTTGTGTGTGAGATTGAAATGCCACACCTTTTAAAAAGGATTCTGCTACAGGCCTGCCTTGTCTTGGTTTTAGGTGCAAAGTGAGAGATGAAACAAACAGGCCAGAGGTCTTCCTTTGAAAGGCTGACTGGATTTCTATATATTGCATCATCCTAACCTTGGAAGCCCAGCAGTCTTTGGTCAAAATTCAGAGCTTCAGAAATTGCTCTGCTACTTGTTTACTAGAACTTGCAGTCTTTGTGGTGCTTACAGCAGAATTACAAGTTCTCTGATTTGGTTCCCATTAGCACAACCAGGATTTTGTCTACTTGAAAATGCTGGTGGTGGAAAGGATGTAAAGTTAATATCCAGAGGAGTTATTTATTTGGATTGTTGTGCTTATTACAAAGAAGGTTCTCTCCCAGTATGGGGAAATGATTTTCAAAATCAAAATTTCAGTAACACCTGAATTCCTACCTTGTCTTAGATACTTCAGAAAATTTCTTGTATGAGCTGCAGCCTGTTTAATGGACAGTATCCTACCTCCAGCATTCCTAAGCACAGTTTGCCTCCTGCAAGAACTATCAACCAGCCACAACTTTTAAAAGACCAGAGACCTTCTGTGTGAAAGTAGGGAATTACTTCAGCTCTGCTCAAAGAGCTGATGGACATTTTCCATTGATTTCAGTGCAAGCAAGATCAAGATTATTTTACTTAACATGGGTTAGGCATTAATTTTGAAAAATTTCAGACAACGTGAAAGGAGCAGGCCTTTGCTAAATAGGAACTCAAAGCCATCAAAGAAGCATTATCTGTGTTCCTACATCCTTTGTGACTATGACAGTTGTCTGTTAGGTTGCATCAAGAGAAACCATCAAAAATCCTACCATCAAAATCCTACCATCATAGTTTACAAATGAAAGTACATAAAGCAGTGGTTTGATTCCTACCTGGTATTTAATGATATTGCTGGAGCAATATTTGTGTTGACAATGAAGACTAAAAAAATCTTTAAGTCTTCTCAGTATTGGAAAACATAAACTTTTAACTCCACAGCAAGCCTGGGGTAATCTTTATCCTTCAGCTATTTTGTTTCTGTTTTCCTAAATACTCAGAAGTCTTATGCTTAGATTTTCTTGCTCTCACAGAGCAAAACTGGCCTGTGGAACTCCTTGCTGTGCAGTTTAATAGAAATCAAGAATTTGAAAAATTAAGAGATTAATTAACCAAGAATCTGAATTAGACAAATAACTGGGGCTATAGTCTTCACATACTTGAAGAATTTTGAAAAAGTCCTTCATTTATCTGGGTTTAGACACTTGCTGTTTGGACTGGGGAGCCAATTTTTTTTTATGGGCACATTACTCACTGTTTAGTATCAATTTTCCTGTTGCCATGGCTGGTTCTCACCATTGCTGTAGCTGGACCAGAGAGTGCCAGCAATAGCCAATTAATAATTCCTTTGTCTTATTGGTGAGTCACAAGCATTCTGGGCTGTAAAACAGTGTCTTTTGAGAGAAGAACATATCTCTAGACTTCTAATGAGTGATGTGTATCCTCTCGTGGGCAGGTAAAGTTGGGCCAGTTTCTCAAGAAGCATCTGTGGTTCCTGCTGCTGAAAGGGAAGCAAGGCTCTCCTCTAACCTGGCAATGACACCCTGCAGTCCTGCTGAACCACCCTGGCTGTCCCTGGCCAAGAAGAAAGCCAAAGCATGGAGTGAAATGCCCCAGATCGTACAATAGCAAACGACATGACCATCCTTCTTTGCATTGCCAATAGCTGTGTTAACTCCATTTAATCCCTTCTTTACTGTGACCATTTTTTTTCTTTTGAGAAATAAGAGCCTTAAAAACTTTTGATCAGACTGTTGTATAGAAAGACATAATGAAGAAATGCCATTGTGGGCTTAATCTGATGTATTAGGAAGCTGAGCATTTTCCTACTACCAGACATTAGGAAAATTTGATTCATTTTTATATGCTTACACATCTGGTGATGATGTTCTAAAAAGACATGCTTCAGGCTATTGAAACATTTCTCTAGCAAAATATGTCTTTAAAGTTTCTTTTAAAGAAACTTATTCTTTTAAAAAGACTGCACTGTATTTGGTATGGTTTGGCTTTGAGCTAAGAAATGAACGTGTGCTTTGAAATATTCACAATGCTGGGCACTGACGCACTGTGAGTCATGGACATTGATGTCATCACACTCCTTTTCTAGAGCTCTACCATGGGCAGCCTGGCTCTGCTTCAGGCTGTTCATGATGTGTTCTGTGATAGCTGTAAGGTCCAAGCACGTTGTGAGCTGGAGTGGTTCTGGCTTTTGTGGGAAGTCTCAGTGCTGTTGCTCCTGTGCTTTGCTCACAGATACCCACTGGAATGCCCCAGAGCTGCACACCAGCTCTCTCCCATGCACTGGAAAACCACCACACTGTAGCACATGTCTGCTTTTAGTTGTACTTTTAGAAATCTGGGTAAATTAAACATTCTATTAAAAAAAAAATCCTTCCTTTCTTTAATTATGGCAAATAGTGATTTTTTTGTGAGATTCCTCACAAAACTGTCTCTCTTGAAGAGTGTGTTGGGGTGAGAACTTGCTCCTTAGAAAGTGGCATCTTCTTTTCAAGAAATGCCACTCTCCATGTTCATAAGGATATAATTTAGTCAATGGTATGTAATGTTAGTCATAAAAGGGGCATCTGCTTTCCTTCTTGGCTCATCAGTCTTTAATCATTAACTCAAGATCAGTCTGAGAATGTGCAGCTGGAGCAGGATTATTCTCTCAGGGCCTGGCCTTGCATTCACTTAAACTCACAAAAGTTTTGCTATTGACTTTGAAGGATACAGATATTTGAAAAATGAGCTTTGTGAAATTATGCTGGTGGCTTAAGAGACAGGGGCACTTACTAGTCCTTCCAGTTCTTGCAGAATTGCACGTTTATGTAGTTTTTGTTTACAGTCAGTGCAAAATTTGAAGGCTGATTGACTGTTTTTTAGCTGGAAAGTTGTTAGCAATTTTTAAAGGAAAATATTATCTATTGATAGGATTAACTGCAAACCAAAGAAAATTGGTTTCAGATCAGCTCAAGCGAGACTTTAATCTTCCAGTTTTGGCCTGAATTTAACATGTAGATTTTGCAATTTGAAAACAGTATTAACTAGGAGCTAGACTGTGATTTTTTAAATAAAGGTGAAAACTTACTTGCCCAGAAAGGCTCAGAATCTATAGATACTATTTATTCTGGGCTAACACCAGAAAGAGTAGGAGTTTCACTTGGTAAGGAAACAAGGAGTGGCTTGGTAATCAATGCCTGTTTTGTAACTTCTTTTTCTCTGCTTTAGGAAGCATATATTTCCTTACAAAGAACTGAAACGTTTGTATTTCTCTGAAACTTTTGAGTGTAATGTAAAATAATTTACTCAGCTTTGATTCCTGGAGTTTTGTACAGTTGTCATCCCACCAGAAGCTTACCAACCCTGTGTAAAATACAGACCTTTCTATATTTAGCAAACTCTCTTCTCATGCTGTTAATGTGGATTATGATTCTTCACCCAAAGTACTGCAATGGATAATATAATCTCTTTCCCTGTGTTTTTCTTTTGGTCTTAATATTGTTCCTGTCTTTTATGTTTGGTATGTATATATGTTTTTGTAATCCTTATCTTGAAGGATCCCCTTTTGTATTCCATTCCCCTGTTTGGTTTATTAAATGCTGTTGCCAGTGATGATGACATCATTTCTGGGAAGAGGGATGGATGGCCATCATTCATTCAGGAAGAAATAAAAACAGGTCTTTGGTCAAAATTGACTCTGTACATGGATAAACTGCATAGATTTTGTTTTGGGGTCATTTTTTGTAACTTAAGACTGATCAACACAGCTGGTCAGGTGAAGGAACTTTTCTAAATCTAAGTTTAAAACATCATGAGGCTGCTGATGGCTCTCCTGTTGCTCTGGAGGTGTTGCTCCTTCAGTGAAGGGTTGGTTTGAAGGCAGGCACTCAAGATCCTAGGAAGCCTTGAAAAGACTTTTTGTGTGTGTTCAAAGAAGCTGCTCTAGGAGATTTTTGGAGTGCTTTAACAAAGAAGGAAAGCACTAGAGAATCGTGTGATGTACATTTGAAATTGACTTGCATTCTGGATTTCTGCAGTTAATGTTTTCATGTCTCTGCAGCTAACAGAACAAAAAGTGTGTACAGAAAACATCAAAACTGAGTGTCGTGTAATCACAGGAGGTTGGAAGTGGGAATATTAGATAAATGTTGAAAGATCAGTGATTTATTGTTGCATTTACAGAAGTTGGTAACTATTAGCATGGTTTTGATTTCCTGTTCTAGTGTAATTTTTAAGTGTTCAGTGAGTAAAAACAACTAATATAATAAGCTCATTTTGGGTGATTCTTTTCAAGAGGCAATCACTAGCTTTGACAATGAGCTGTGTTGAAGTGCGGAGCTCGTTGCAGAATGTCACGGGGAGGTTCTGTGGCTCGGAACGCGTGGTGCAGGATGCAGAAGCTGTGCCTGAATTCCCTGTGCCTGACCCGGCTCCGTGTGACAGCAGAGGGTGCTGCCGCATCCCCGAGCAGCGCAGCGCAGGATTTCAGTGCATGCGAGGAAAGCGCTGAACTCCATCCAGCCTTCTCGTGTAGAAGTTGGGATAGAGAGGACCCTTCAAATGTATTATGGTATGTCTTCTTAAGGGCTGTTGTCTGAAAGAAAAGATGTAATTGATTTTGAAGTATTACAGTAGAAATTCTCAGCTCAGAAAAGCTGCAGTTCCTGAGTGTGTGCCACCTGCTCTCCTAAGTGCTTTTCAGATCAATACAGGAAAGACATCAGCCTGTGAGTGTACTCTGTCCTTTAGAACTGCTCCTGGAAGAGAATAGATCTGAAGGATACAGGTAATGAGAGATGTGATCAGCAGCCTAAAAAAAGGCCAAACCTTTCTCTTTGTCTTTTCCTCCCGTGTTTGATAGCCTACCTACAATTCTGCTAGAGATTTATCCTGGTTATAAGATTTGGCAAATTTGTCACATCAGTCATCACCAAAATATTAATAATGATGATGTGGAACCCCTTGGGGAATCTGAGTATCTGTTTAAGATCCTGACCTTGATTTGCTTGCTATACTACAGAATTCTGTCTCCTCTATGTTGCCAGGAAATACTGCACCCAAAGCATCAATAGTTGTTACAGGCTACAGCCTGGGATAGTTCTTGGTGCAGAGGTTCACTGAAACCTTTGTCATTGAAAACAGCTTTTTATGTCTTTCATGGAAGTAGGCATATCAAATAAACTGTAATTCTGGTTTTGGAACACAAGCCCATTAATCTGCCCAAAAAGGTTACTCAGGTATTTCCAGCTGGGTAGTTGAAGGAGCATGGCTTGATGATGAGTGAAAGTTCAGCTTGAGAAATGAAAGCCTTAGAAGTAAGAAGCTGCAATTCAAATTACTCTTCCACAGTGGAATTGATCTAAATCTAAGGAAGGGCACTGAAAGCAATCTTTAAAAAGTGGTTTTTCTTGTACTTCTCTCTGCACTAAGGAATACCAGACCTCGTTGCTGTGAACCACATTAAGTAGGTGAGAACCATGACTGCCCTGCAAATCAAAACCTGTTGTGAGCTGCTGATCAAGTCCACAGCACAGCAGCATTTTAAAAGGAATTGCTGTATGATCTGTGCATTAAAAATGCAACTTCTCAGGAGTGAGCTAAGCCAAACTTTAGCAGCTTCCACTGACTAGAGGGGCAGATTATTGACTATGGAAAATGTGAGATGCTATTTTTATTCTCATTGTGCTAGGAGTGATTTAAAAATAAGCTATTTTAATAGCTGTTTATTTTTTAGAGGCAGTTCAAAGAAGAAGAATCTAGAGGCAGATTATCTAAACAGGATTATTAACTGTCAAGTCTTGGACTGATCTGTAAGCCAAGTTAGTCACTAAACAAGAAGCAGGTATGGAAATGGGTGAAGCATGGAGTATTTAATTTATATAATTTAATTTATATAATTTTGTATGATGTAGAAATAGAAATACAGAGGAAGAGATTGATTGACATAAATAACCTACATGGAAAAGGTTGTTTGGTACCTGGAAGCCTCATTCCAGCCTTTCTTCTCTCTGCCTCAGAATATATCACTTCCCTCTCTAAGCATTCTTTCTTTTCACTTGGGGGATCAAACCCAATTTTTACTTATCCTGTTTTGTAGTCAGTCCTATTTTATGGAATATGGATGAAAAGCTGACAAATGCAAGATCACCTGTCAATACTGGCAACCCGTGTTCAAAGTTCACCCTAATCTATGTGGTTAAACTAATACTCTATTGCATTTTCTCTATTATACCATTCTGACTCCAAATTAGCTTTGATTTACAGGTATTTTTCCAATACAGAAGGGTGGGATTAACCACTTTAAAATTAGATCCTTTCCACATTACTTAGGAATATGTTTGTGTGGCATTGAGCTAACTTCTTCCAAGTTACACAATAAGTTCACCGTAACAACTGCAGCAATGTATGGCATAAGGTCGAAGTCCTGAGGCTGTGTTGTGTTTCCATAGAGTTGGAATTCCAAGCAGCAGCCTCCCCCGATGGTGTCCTGGCAGTGCTGGGAGCTGACAGAGCAGGAGGGGACATTGCTGGTTGGCTCCTGGCGGGTGGCACTCGGGCTGTGCCCAACATCTGCGTCACCGGTGACGCGGGCAGGGGGTAAAGTGACACTCACTGAGCAGCATGCAGGGGTGACTTGCACCCCAAAGGTGCAAATTCACCACTTGTGCCTGTGGGGTGAAATAACTTCACTGGACTTGGTGAGCTGTAGAAATATGTTTTATTCATATGGGAGTAAATAAAGTGACATTTCTGTCACGGCTGGATGTACAAATTAGGATATATCTACGTTAAACTTGAGCTGTGTTTTAAGCACAAGAGGCATTTACTCAGTTTGGATCCTGAGTCATACATATTTCAAAGAGGAAGAATAAATATATGTTTTAGTACTGCATTTAATTCATAAAGGGAGTTCTGCCCAAAGATGAGTGACCTCATCTGTAGTTGCATGAAATCAGAACAGAACCTTTTTTTGTGGAGGTTTTTCTTCCACCTTGACAGAACAATTTATTACATAAGCATCCTTAGTGTTATGATCCCTATAAAAAAATAACTGTCTCCTTACTTTGCATTGTTTATAAAATAAGAGCTTTGGCTGTGAGATGTACTTCATACTGTGGTAGAATAATCACAAAATAATTGTGTGTAAAATGCTAGAAAAATCAATATCAGTTCTTATTTGCTATTTATTTAATAATTTCAGAGCATTACTTGCTACTAAAGCCCAAATTCTGCAAATCATGGTTTGGTGTGGGCTGAGGCTTGGACTGACCTGTGGGGCCTGTCCAAAGGGAGATTATGGGTCTGGTCCTACTCTTCACTGGACATACTGGATTAGGCCCCTTTTAAGAGATGTTTAAGTGAAGTGTAACAAAAGCTTTCAGGAAAGTGTGTTATTTCTTTAATAGCAAACCATGTAATGCAAATTCAAACTATGTAACTCAGGAGCTGATATGCTATGGGCTGATGTGACAAAGTGTAATGTTGCAATCTAGAGTACAACCATACTTGGGTGGGAGAAATTTGGGTCTTACCACTTACTCCTGGAATCCAAGCCTGGTAACCAGGTTGGTGGGATTCCGGGGCTGTGCTCAGTCTAATGCCCTAAAAATCAGTTAGTGAGGACAGTGTGTCTGTATACTCTCACTTTTGACCTACTGCCTTCAAAGGTGAAATCCATAAGAAAAGGATGGAATAAGATAAAAACCTAGACTTTGCATTTGTTTTTATTAACAGTATGGGCCTATAACCACAGTACTGCAGTAAAGATTTTTTATTTTAGGGAGTGACCTGAACAGCAATGGTCTTTATGCAATTTTCCAAAGAAATGTAGAATAACAACAAGAATTTCAGTGTTAAGTGGCACTTCGGGCTTTCTTTCAGATCTGAGGAACAGCTCTGTCAGACAGGAACAAATCTGCTAAAGCCAATGGAATTAGTTTGGTCTAAATAAGATTATAATTGGGCCTTTCTGTTTCTGCATTGCTCAAAAATAAATCCCAGTAAACAACTTGAGGTCAAGTCTTCTCCTAGCTATGCCAG